AGGCAATGGCCTCCGCATAAGGTATATTCTGCCTTCCAAATGGCCTCCGCATAAGGTATATTCTGCCTTCCAAATGGGCGATACACTTTTTCATCCCATGCGAGAGAGCGTCTGATTCCATTTTCTCCCTCATTCTCAACCCCCCTTGTTTCTCTTCCATACCTCCCCAGGGGAAGATGCCGTGGGGCATTTCTGCGAACAAATACCGCTTCTTCGGGTCGATTGCTTCCTCCAGAATGTATTCGTAGTGGAAGTAGTCCCGCCAGAGCTTGAAAAGGAAGGAATTGCAAAACGCGTCCCATCCCTAGGAAGGGGGTAGGGAAAGTGAACAGAGGGCTCCTCCATGGTCGGCCCGGGGCAGTGACATGTTCGACGCCGGACATCACCGACAAGATGCGAAAACAGAAAGCCGTACCTGGTAGTCCAGGGGTAGGAAGGCCGCACTCCACATGAGCACGAAGGCCGTCCCTGCCACGACGCGCCAGGTCGGAAAAAAGAGGCCCGCCACGCAGAGAAGGGAGAGGATCACCACCAGGTAATACCAGCTCATCATCACGCCCATCGTCAGCATGGCCAGCGCCTCCCGAAAGAGCGACATGTCGCCGTTGTCCCGGGCCGCCAGGGCGACCCTGATCATTTTGCCTCCCGCTGCCTTATATTGGACACCTGGGGACGAGGGGGGGCTAGAAGCGGTCTGAGAGTTTGCTACCCCGTTCGTGGAAACATTCGTTTCAGCTTGCGGCGTCATATCTCCCTATTCACACCGACGGTGGGGGATCCTCGTAACCGCCTGTGGGATTGCGTGTGGTTGGGAGGGGCAAGCTTATACTTCAGAAACTCGCGGTACCCCAGTGTTCATAAAGTCATCGTATTCCAATTAATATCGAGTTCTTTTGAGGCAGATTTATTGGCAGACACTAATGAACGGTGCCAAGTCACGCACATTTGGGAACATGATGGTACCAGAGGATTAGGAAGCGAATCGATGATTCCTGGCACAGACATGGATACGCGACGACTCCTCAGCGCAGGGTCCGTCGAAAATCACCTGTTGTCTCCATTGCCAAACACAGGCAGAAAGTTTCCATCTAAAGCTCAAATCAAAGACTCAAATGTGCTCAGGGCCCCATACAGCGTGACACAGATACAGACACATGCGTTGCGAGCAGCGAATCGAGAAGCGGCGATGCCCCGTCACCGACTTCCATCATCCGGAGGATGTCGGTTAAAAGATTCTGGGCACAAACCCCCGTTACGAGTTACAAGCGGACAAAGGAAATGCTCAAAATGACTTTCGAACGCCATTCCATCCCATCGGAACCGCTCCATGCCCGCAGACTCAAAGTCACGGAGGCGCCAGCACCGTACGCCACAAGCGACTTGTAGGCAAGCGATGACGTCATCCGGGTTCGACCAACCTCCTCCCCCCCCCCCGCAAGCTTTTTGGTTTTTAAGTTTGTTCCCATTCTTCAGTGCACAACGATGGCATCCTTCGTTCAATTGTTCAGTGTTGCATGTGTACGAATCAGTAAAGGGAGCTACCGGTAGCCATCACGGTGAGATTGTTGATCTAAACTTTGAAACATTCGTTAGTTATCGTTTTTCATTTTCCACTGTCACGGAGAAGGATGCCTGCAGAAGATTTTTCGTTTGATACTTTGATAGATCTACAGTATATACACGTCTTAACCTGCGCCCCTCCCATGTTCCGGCACGTCACGCGCCATACTGCCACAAATGCAGGGCTCGGTCGTAAAATGAGGCAGATATCAAAACCCCCGTCCCCACCGTTTCCATGTGCCTCCCCCCCCTCCACCAATCGATCCCGTAGACCATCGAAGCGTGCCCATCGTACCCAGCCTTCTTCTTCCAACCTCTTCCCTCCTCGTACTTCAAGACACATGCACCTCCGTGCATTGCCGCCACTGCCATTATACCTCCCTCCCCTGGGTGCCACTTGATCCTCCACAACCCTCCTCCTGCCTCGTCGCACTCACTCTCACATATCGGCCGCACCCCGAGGGCCCGGACATCCCACAGTCGAAGCACCCCATCATAAGACCCGGTCACCGCCTTTCTCTCTCCCCCCACCCTTGCCCCCTCCCTCCC